TGTTCCGGACGTCGTGAAGGCCCAGGTAGACATTGACGTGTTCTTTGGAGACCGCCGTCACCGTGTTGTCCCGTCGCTGGGAGCAGAGGACGTGGGCAGCGGTCAAGACCCACGATTCGGAGAGGAGGGCTCCGCTGCCGAACCACCGGTTGTTGGGTACCCGGGAGGTGTCCTCCACCACGATCAGAGCTTGCCAGGGAAAAAACCCAGGTTCTGCATTTCTCCCGCCGATTATCCGCTTGACCAGGCTAGGCAGAGGGCGGCTGGGCTGTCCACACACTAAGGAAGGAAACGACACGACACACAATTAGTCTGGGACACTTCCAAAACAATTCAGAAAAAGGTTGTCAGTTGTGGTGGTAGATTATGCCAATTTTGCTCATCTATCCTCTGCAATCCGATATCCTACAGGTAATCCTCAACGTACGACCATGACTGAGCCCCAGAATTTGTGCGGCTAAGCGAGGTGGTTGCTAAGCGGGGTTTGCCCCATTTTTGGGGCCACAATTGTTAAGCGAATCACCGCAGCGGTTCAACGAATCGTGCAGTCGTTAAGCGAATCTGGGTTCCCCCCATTGATTTTGCTTCTTGGGACCCCAGAACGCTGCAACCGTCACAAGTACATGCCAGTTGCCAAGGATCCAAATTTTGATCGCGTGACCGTGGGGATGCTGCAACGGTCGCAAGTGTGAAACATGGTCCTAAGTTCCTTTTTTTGAGTGCCGTTGTAACTTGGAACGGTCACTAAACAAATAGTTGTAAGGCGAGGACTTCCTGTATTGGATAGTGATTCTTTGGAAACTGGACCGTTTTTAATTTCATCGGGAGAGGCCCCTGGATCGACAATAGCCAGCCACGAAAATGCAAAATTGGCAGGAACGATTTAAAATTAAGAAAGCTTGCATTTCATTTTCTTTTGATATCTCGCCCCGCTTTTAAACTTCAATTACATGACAGATTCGTCCACATCAACCAAGTGCATTTAAATAGCAAAAGGAAGGAAGTTTAGGATTACAAAAAAAAAGAAGAAGAAGCTGTGGAATAAATTATTTTTCAAACATGCAATTATTTCCCCCCCCGGGATAAAATCCTCTGCAATTGTTGGGTTTGTTCTGATTAACACTCTCTTAAAATCCATGCCAAGTTTTTTAAAAAAAATTTTCCGCGCACATCAGTTGTGATCTTCATTTCTCCCTGGGGATGTCCGCAAGGGGGAGGGGGTTAAAAACATCAAGATTTGATCATATCATCACAGATGCCATCTGGAAGTTTTTGATCATCCATGGGAAAATGTCTGCTTCTACCTTTGAAGTGCACCCTTTATTTATAAAATATAGATAGATAGATAGATAGATAGATAG